TCCCGGGCGAAACAATGACGGAAAAGGTCGTCAACCCGAGCAAGGGAGGCAGCAAATCATGGGCCGACGTGTACGAGATTCAATGCGACAAATGCGGAACTGTCAAACGATTTCCTTGTCAAAGAAAACCGAACCAGACTGGGCAGGAAGACTCAAGACCTGTTGCAAAGAACTAAGCGCGAATAAACATTTGCATTGCTTGCAGTTAGCCAGCTTCCCATTGCCTCTAATTCCACAGTGGCCCATGCCCAACCGTGTCTGTTTTGCGGCCTGAGCCACGACATGTTTATCGGACGTAACCAATCCAGACCGCATGAGATCGAGGAACTCGTCATTATGTGCCTTCCAACGCCAAAAAAGGTCAAAGCTTCGTGCAAATTTCACAGCAAACAAGTCCCACTCAGTACTCGTACATTCATCAAGCATGACCTCGTTAACTAATGACCAGCCGTGAGGCTTCCATCTCTGCATTCGCCGTGAAAGTGTGGTAAAACAAAATTGAGACGCCCAGGGACGAGAAGCGCCTAGGAGGAGTGTGGCTCTCCCAATACTGTGAGACGTGGTTGAGAGAGTCTGCCGCCCCGCGTCCCCAGGGCTTTGCAGAATTATAGTTGGTTTGTAAAGTTCATGAGTGCTCAGCGTCTCGATAGACCAGTTGCATTTCAGCGTCGAGTTCGTGCTCCGGCCGAGCTATGGCCGCTCGGGCGAGTGCGATCGAGCCTATCACCTAGCTCATCCACGTTGTTTCTGATGGCCCTGATCTTGTCGCGAATCCGCTTGATCTTCCCAAGATCTTCTTCGAGCTTGTCAATATCAGCCAAGATGCGATGCATTCTCGCGATTTCTCGGTCTGCATCCCGCGTGACGCTTCCAGCTTGGTTGGCGGTAGCTCTCACTGACCGTTCAGTTGCTTCTTCGAGCTACACAACAGTCAGTCCATGCACGGAGAGTTTCGGGGGCAGACCAATGCTCGGATGCATACCTCGCCAATTCGACGCTGGATATTCCTGATGACGTTCTCCAGGTGCGCATATAGAGCTTCCAGGCTATGGGAATCCAGCATAATCCGACCAGGAACACTTTGGCTGCTAGCAGCACTGACGGCACGGGAGCTTGGCTGCGACTGCCTGCTAGTGCCGCGGCCACGGTCGGGCATGCTGCCTTGATGACTTCGCTGGGCCAGGATTTGTTGTTGTTGCCGGAGAAGAAACAACTCAGATTGAGTCAAACCCAGAACGGAGTCGGCGACTGACTGAGTCGCGGACATGGACGTCCCGGGCGGGCAGCAGAGATAGCAGTGGAAGTGACCAATCTAAGCGTTGAGGCAGATGAGCTTCGACAGGAACCCGGGGTGATCAAACGGCACATAGCAGTTCTGAGAGCTGATAGGTTTGCGAGAAGCCGTCAAGAGTGGTGCAAGAGACACCAGACAGCGAACGAGCTGCGAGATATGGCAGTTTGGGAGAGACTGGTCATTGTAGCTTTGACGTATCGATGGGCGCGTCGCTAGCGACCGCAGAGCCTCAAAAGTTTGGCGAAGCGCTCGCACTTTCTCTGCCTCAAACAAATGGATGGGCCTATCTTTTTATTCTCTTTCTTTTCCTCTTTTGTCTCCTCTCTTCGCCCCTCCCAGGGTCCCGGCGGCAGGTGTGTAGAGGGTCCCTATTTGAACGTGTAGCAGGAGATATTGGCTTTGGTTCAGCTTGTGCCAAGAGGGGTAGGACAACGGTCGGCAGAACAGTCGATGACAAGCGTGCTCGGAAGAGCAGCAGACTAGAACCAGGAGATGAAAGTGGGCGCGGGAACGGCAACGGAAGCGGGGATGGCGACGGGCGAGACGGTTGAGGAGGAGTATTGTTTCATCGCCTGCAACGGTGACCAGCAGAAAAAGTGTGAGGAAGGGATACGATGCAGGGTAAAGGAGAAACGAAAAGGAAAAAAAAGGCACAATGAAACTGAGTGAGCTGAGAAAACGAAAGAAAAGAGGAGCGCGGCTATCGCAGCACAGTTAGGTCGTTAGATACTTCTCTTCGATGGGCCTTCAGCAGCCCTAGTGCCTGGCTAAGGAGTAACAAGGACAAAGAATGATCGTGGGGACCAGCAGGTGACCGACTTTAACAGCACCGTGGGATGGGCACAAGATATGTTCGATTGGCTCCGGAGCCGTGGTCTTTGTTAGTTTGGTAAAGGAGGATCATTTTCGTGGGGCATGGATGGAGGAGAGCGAGTAGCAACAAGCGAAAAGGGACGACCGACAGGGGGGCGAGGGAGGAGGTAGGGTGCCTGGGCTGTTTGGATCTTGATTTGAGCATTTCGATTAAAGCGCCAGTGAAAGGATAGTAGAAGCTGAGCGAAAGATGTGCGAGGCATGCAGAGAGAATAGAGAAGGGGAGCAGAGCAGGAGATCAGCTTCAGCTCCTTCTCTTCGTCCTCCTCCCCTTCAAGCCCTTCCTGCTTGCGTTTACAAGAGGAAAAAGACTCCTCTACAAAAATTATCATCGCTTCTATCTGTCAATCCCTCAGACCTGCCGCCGGCTTGTTGCCCACCAGCCTCGTATCCTTTCTTCGCACTCAAGTCAGTCACAGTTGATGCCGCCTGCGCCTGTGCCCGCGCCCACATTAACTGCGCTCAAGAAAGGAAACACCAAGGACAATCCACCACGCCGTCCTGCCATCCTGGTGACAATGCACAGGCAGCTCCAATTACCATTGTCTGAATTGGTTCACGAGGGATGGCTTAGCCGTTCATGCAGGAGTCAACGCTCCCCCCGAGAGGAGCTGCATCTACCACTGCAGCACTACTGCAACCCACCCATCTTTTTGGCATTTTTTTGGAGCTTTTACCCTGCATCACCCTCCTGGTTCCCGCCTCTTGGGTTCGTCTGCTTCTGACCGGTGAGACCCAATGTTTCATGGGTGCAGACGTGACACCAAGCAACCCCAAGAAAAGTGACTGCAATCAATCATAATATCTGGCCCGCTCACTTAGTCAATCCCGCCCTCGACTTGCATGATTTGTGCCACTCCACGCGCCTGCGGCACCGGCCGATCTTTTTTGAACTTTCTGACGTCGCGGTGCAGGTCCAACGACTTTCTTAGTCAACAATCCATCAACCCAAATTTCCCCATACCGTTATCCCTCCCGATTTTCAAATACCATCCCACTCAATGGCGAGAGACAAGGAACGATCTGTCAATCCTGCACAACAGCAGCGCAAGCTCGAAAAGGCGAAACAGCTGAAAAAGAGTCGGGCGGAGCTACAAGCAAGGCGTAATGAGAAATTGGCCCGCCGAAACCCCGAACGCATCCAGCGCCAAATCGATGACCTCAAGGCTCTCGAGGCTACAGGAGACATTAAAGCTAGAGAACGGGCCATTTTAGAGGATTTGGAACGAGATCTACGTGCGGTCAAGAAAGCAAGAGAAGCCTTGGGCGACAAAGCCCCCAACTTCTCCGGGCCATCCCGTCGACATGACGCTGAGCGCAGTGGCACTACGCTGGGCAAGAGAAGGCATGATGGCGAGCGCAAATACCACCAACCGAGACAAGACTCCTCAGGCAGTGACACGGATGATTCTGTCCGTCGCATCCCCATGCCTGAAGATACACCGCCACCTATTCCACGGGAATTCAGGCGCAACCCGCCGCGTCGAGACGATGGCCATAATCCTCAACAAGCGAGCTCGCCGACCGGGTTACCACCCACCAAACCAGGAGCGAAACCCATAGAAGTGAAAACCACGTACGAAAGTGCTCCGCAGATCCGTGATCTCCGCAAAGAAGCCGTCAACAGATTTGTACCAGACGTTGTCCGGAAGAAACAAGAGGCTGCAAAGGGCGGACCCACGGGTCGCTTGATCGAACCGGAAGAGATGGACCGCCTCGAAGCCGAGGGCTATCTTGGCAAGGCCAACGACGAAAGGACACAGACCGCCACAGCAACGACTTCAACCACACCTACAGGCGACGAGGGCGCAGACGAGGATGCAAGGCGACTTGCGGAGGAGGAAGATCGCTTTCTCCGCGAGGTGGAGATGCAGGATCATGAGGACGGTGGAACTCAAGACACCGAGCCACCCGAGGGCGTTGATGACCTGGGGCATCATTCCAGCAGCGAAACCCAGCCGTCGCAACGCATTCCACATCGTCGTAACGTGGAGATTGAAGAAGTCGAGGACGAGGATGCCTAAGCAGAGCATGCATAGTGAGTGTGTTCTAGGCCATCTGTGCGATAGATGATGGGAACAAGGGGACAGGTTTGGCAACCCCCAGGCAGCAAGGTCCATCCATCCGCCCTCATCTTCTGCGAGCAAGTCAGTCAGATGGGCATCGTCGAAGCTGCGGACTACACAAGTTCTTCTTGGTTCCAAATTCTCATGTTCGCGTAAAACTGCAGACTGGCCTGGCTGATAACTCTTGAGGTCGCATGCATACATACAAGGCAGTGTTTTTTTTTTGTCTAACGCGGTGCTAGACGAGCTGACTATCCAGACTCCCCTGCCTCGTTTCAAGTAGAAAGTGCAAGCAGCACTCACTTCCTCAAGCAACTGATCGTTCCAACTCCCCCATCGGTCAATAGATCAATCCTCTTGACGGCGTCAGTGAACATAATTCCTCAGACGCCAGAGCGCCATCGTTGTTCCCAAAGCGACATTCAGACGCAGGCTTTTCCAATGCACTCATCGAACCTTGATCAACAATCCCAAACAAACGAAATAAACCCCAAATTCCTGTACAGGGGACAGTAACCCCTGCTTCGACAAGCTCCGGTATTGCAACATTCGCCTCAAAGGCAACGGGTCGGGTGTTGTGCTGCCCATTTCCTTCTTCAGTCCGAAGAAGAGACTCTGGTGCCATCGGAAAGACCACAGCATAGACCATGATACATCAGATGCCATCTATGTCCGACCATATTCTTTCAGATTGACTCTTTACGTGGTCGCGTGATCGTCGTTATTCCATTCTCCGTGCAAGATACTCATACGAGGGATAGTCGTGACTACCGCATAGCCCGCACGGATTTGACATCTTTCTTCAGGAAAGGACTGGGCATTTCATCCCCGAAGATCTCTGGGTCCCAAACCGGAACTGGAGGTAGGTCCTTTTCGCTTCTCTGGTCCGGGATGGTCCTCACTTTTGTGTTCAAGTGGCCTCCAGCCCGGGCCTGAGCGAGTTCTACCAGCGTTCGCCCTCCTACGCCGGTGCCAGTGACAGCATCTCGGCCGCCCCCGAGCTTACTAGGGAGCCGACCGGCCGTCGTTGCTGCTCGCCTAAGGGGACTAGTGCTTCCTTCATCTGCAATGGCGTGCTCTCGGAGGTCGTTTCGGCTTGGTATCTTGCTCAGACGTCTATTAGGGCTCGTGGGCTTCGCTGTCAATGAACGCAAATCGCCGTCTGTAGTGTTTCGTGGGATACCTTTAATGGCATTGGCGATGTTGACAGAAGCAATTCCTGCTCTCACTTGTGCTGCCGTGTTGCTGGACGGGAACAGAGTGGGCTTCGTGATTAACTTCTGCATAGTGGCTGTTGTATTCTGTCTCACCATGGCTGGTCTGTTCTTCAGTGGCAGAGGTGCAGGGTTCTTGAAGGGATCTGTGTTGACCATATTCCCTTTTGATCTTGTTGGACTGGCCAATTCTGGGAACCCATCGTCATCATCATCTGAATCTTCAGGGGGTTCAATGTTTTCTTCGTCGGAGGAATACGCCAACTGTGGCTCCCACCGAGCCTTTTGGCGTGCCGCTTCTGCAAAGAGATTTTTCGCACCAACGGCGGTGACTGTCGGGTTGGCAGTTGCTTGTGCCGCGGCGTTTCGACGGGGAGAGAGCGCCAGGGAAGAGATGGACATGGGCGATGGTTCTGACATCTGGATATCAACAGGAGAGTCGAAGGCGGTCTTGGACCGAGCAAAAGGCGTTTTCGTCTTTTTGGGCATTGACTTGTTACTCGACGTGGTGGGCGAGCTGATTGAAAGATCCGACAGATCGGTGATATCTGTGGTCGACGGGAAATCTTCCTCGCCGGCAGTGTTGACCGACGACGAAGGGTTCAGGTTCTCTTTGTCGTCAAAGGATCTCCCTGCAGGGCTTTGAATGTCTCGCAGTGCTCGGGTTTCCGTTGAGTGCTTCTGTTTAACCAGTAGATGGGCGACACGCTCATCGACCTCTCTGTCGAACCTCTTCCGGAGTCTTTCCAGCTCCAATTGAACCTGTCGGTCGATTTCAAGTCGTGCTTTGACCTCCCACTCGCGACGAAGCTGGGCATCAATTTCCAGCCTCAAGGCCGCTCTATCTGCTTCAAGAGCAGAGAGCCTCTCTTCAGCTTGTCTGACCTTGTGGTCTGCAATCTCCTCCCTCGTCTTCAATGCCTTTCCGATGGTGACCATCTCTTGCTGCCTCCGAGCGAGCCACACATAGGGTACAGTCAACAACGAACTCGTGTCCGGCCGGTGCGTTGGATTTGTCTTGAGACAATTTGCGATGACGTTAGCGAGGTCTTTTGAGTAGATGGTCGGAATGGGTTTGACGTCTCCCTTGCGGATGCGCTGCACGAGTTGCAGGTGAGAGTTTGCATTGAACGGCGGCTCTTTGGTGCAAAGTTCGTACATGATACAACCGAGTGACCAGATGTCTGAATACAAAGTGTATTTCTCGGCAGCACAGATTTCCGGCGACATATAAAAAGGTGTTCCAACATAAGTCGAGGCGAAATCATGCGACTGCATAATCTTGGAGAGACCAAAGTCGCCGAGCTTGACGGATTGGTCTTCTCCCAGGAATATATTCTCGGGCTTGAGATCTCGGTGGAGGATCATTTTGCCCTTGTTGAGAGGCCGGGTGTCGTTCTGTCGAGAGAAGTCACTGCCAGGTTCAGGCGGGTCGACTCCATAATGGCAACGGTACAGAGCCGTGACTATCTGGCTGAAAATCCTCCATACAAACTCCTCCTTTGCGTACTCGTTCTTACGCTTGAGTTCCTTGATGACACAGCCCAGATCGCCGCCGCCACAATATTCCATGTACAAGTATAGCTCTTGGGTCTGTCTCAGATGCTCGCGGTGGAAGTATCCGACAATGTTAGGATGGCTGAGGGAGGCAAGAATCGAAAATTCCGCATGCAGTTGGTCGCGTTCCTTCTGGGACATCTTGAGATAGTTGATCTCTTTGCGGCACAGGATCTGATGGCAGTTAGACTGAGGACAATGGGCCGTTGATTGGACGGGAGAGACGTACATGGCCATCTTGTCTTCGACGAACTTTGCGAATGATGCCGAATGCACCACGACCTAACTCTGTTATGAGGACAAAGAAGAGACCAGACGACGGGAGGGAGTCAATACCAATAATCTCCTTGACCTCGTATTTGTCATTATCGGCAAGTTCGAGGGCCATTGCGACTACCTTGAAGAAAGATTCGACAGGCAGGTACAATCAATGACGACTTGTCTAGTTATGGCACGAGACATTCCCCATGCATAAGAGTCACAAGATCGGACAGAAGAGCAACAGTGCTCTGTTCCGCAAAAGGCGTAATAAATGGTAGGGACGGAGTGTCTGAACAAACAAGTGGAAGAGTGTGCAAGTGTATGAGAGCGTGAATCTGAGTGGTGAAAGTGTTGTATGCGAGACAGAAATCAATGCTCGATATTTACTGGCGCGTTGCGGGGCAACAAGCGACGATGTCATTCCCGACTTTTCACCATCCCACAACACAAACATGCACCTCTTCAATGATAATGCCACTCACCACATACATGTCCTCCAAAATCTGGAGAAGCTCTAGGACAAGTACCAAGGATAACAGATTAACGCATCTCATAGGGACCGGCATCCTCGAGAAGTCGTCACTCACACGATCCTGTACCTGGGGCGCAATGGTCACGTGCCGAGACTCCTTCCCTCCAGCCCAAGATTCCTCTACCATACTTGAACTGTACGGGCGCTGACGAGGTTTCTCTCTCACAATGGCCAAATCTGTCCGGATGGACTGTCAATTCCTACGACGAGCCCCCTACCTTTGGAGTGTGGAAACTGCCACCCATAGAGCCAGTCAAGGACAGCATTTGGGACTTGCATCGTGCATGCAATCACTGTCCAGACGGGCAGGCTCTTGACTTGGGAACAAAGTCTGCAGGTATCGCAAAACCGGTTTGGCAAGCCGCCCTTTAAGACACCAAGATCAGCACAGTGATGTTCACAGCAAACATTTTTGGCCTGCCAGATTGGGGGTGAGCAACACCATCACGCCATCACACAGCTCAGCCTCGAGTCAGTGACGCAGATTCTGTTCAACATCATCTTTCCTCTGATTTTATGTGCCCTGAAAGGAAATCTAGAAAGAGAACCAAGAGATTGGGATTAGTGCAACACCTTGTGAGGATGGTGTCGTCAATTTGTCCATCTGCATAACAGGCAAACAGAGATACAAACCCTGGGACACCATGCAGCAAGAGATGAGCGAAACTGAATGGGGCTTGATATTGACCGCTCGAAAGAAACAACGACTTGTCACTCTCACATCACCGCTCGACACGCAGAAACTAAAGGGTACTCACCTGAGCAGCAATACTAATGCATAGATGCCCATGGAATGTGCGACGATCTAACGAAGAGTCTCGCATGATAGTTGAAATAACAATCAAATCGAGTCCCGATTCGAGGTCATTTCCCGCTGATCATCGATGACCCGACGTCAAGTCACGAGGCTCTTTGATCAACGTGCGTGAAGATCCCATCATCGATCAGGAAGGCCAAATAGTCGCTACGAGGTTGGTCGGTGTGAAAGCCCCGCCTGCTGCCTCTCTCCCGAGTCTGATCAACATGGCAAGCTACTCGTATTTCCATGGGCGGCTCCAGTGACGACGCGGGTTCCATTTGATGATCATCGTGCAGCCCACACTCAGCCTGCTTAGGAGCGTGCCCAGACCTGTGACCTGCTTCCGTCGTAGCTCATACGGTACCGAGTACTCGTAGTCCTCGTGATAACTTGTGCTTGTAACAGTTGTGGTCAGATCTTCACGTTGATCATTGACGACAGGGCAAGTAGTGCATGTACTATTCCCCCTTTTCTTTCCCACCCGCATGCCACAAGTCTGGATCCTGGAGCATCCGGGACACGTCTTGTAACGTGCAAGGGACGGTGCAAACGCTGCGGCGGCTCAAACTCTACCTCATACAAGTAGAGAAAGGAGGTAGTCCTCGCCTCCATCATTGGACGGCTTGGTGGGAAGCATCACGATTGCTGCAAATCACCCAAGACAGCAAACCAGCCTTGGTGGACGAACATGAGCTCTCGCGCGGCTGCTGGCGCCACCAGTCAGCCAGCCACAGAAGGCCTCCGAAAAGGATGCGAAATTTCTTCTCGGCTTTGGCTGCACGCTTCTAGGAAACTTTGTACGTCAAACGAGTCCCGAGACGGTCAAGGTTGAGGGGAAAATCCTGCATCAGTCGACCGAGGGAGGTCCACACCTGTAACTGTCCCTCCGCCCGTCCCACGGTTATTCTTGCCAGACTGTTGACTCCCGAAGTGTGTCTTTTCGGGGACCCGGGGATCTCGGGGTTCGACCATGAGCCTCGAGAGCCCCAGTGGCTGCACTAACCAAACTTGTTGAGGGGGGATTTCGTGAGACTGCCAGGGTGCGCAATTCTGAGGTCTGGGCACGCTTGCTAATCGCTAGCCGATGAGAGTGGACACCGTTTTAGCCATGTAAGCCTGGAAGGAATCGGACCAGGTGAGCCTGGAATTGCTCTGCAGGTGATCGAAATGAGCATTGGGGGTGACAAGCCTGCGCTCACTCGGAAACGCCTTGTTTCAGTGCTTGGATCCCCTCGTATCATCCCAGATGGTCCGTGCAGACGTGTCAACAAGTTTGACATAAAGAATTGTGTAGCGAATACAACAATATACTAGCCGCCTACCGCAGATCAGCAGCGTGATTGTACCGAGTACTCGTAAAGGGGAACCCGGCAGCTCTGTCAAGGACAATACCAGCACTGGCACCTCTGGATGTTAATCAAACTTACTGAGTCCCAGCAGAGGGGGAGAAACGATCCCAAAAGGCTTCGAACAGGGTTAAGAGGTGGATAGTACCTAGAAAGTAGTCCCGTCTCGTCGAAGGATGGCGTGCTCAGATTTCTAGGCTCGGAGGGGGAGGCTGACTTCGAGGATGATCAGGGGAGCTTCTTCTCCCAGCGAGTGGAACCAACAGCGCAACCGTGCCAGGGATGGCTGCCACGTGGAAATGTGAGCGGGGAATCAATCCGGCTGGCTTGAACGGCCTCGTCCATCAAGTCTTAGCCTGGTGACGGCGTGTCCAGTAGGATAGCTTAGGAAGCTAGCGTCCTAAAAGCGCCCGATGACAGGAATTGGCTGCCCTTCGTGACCTGTCATTCGAGCAAAGGGAAAGGAGAGACAATGGACAAGGGAATAGCGTGATGAGCAGCCGAATACGAGGTTTGTTGGTAGAAGGGTGCATCCGAAGCCGTGCACTATTCGTATCTCTCTGCCTTGCCTTGCTTGCCTGGAAAGTCGAAAAGGATTCAGGCAGCCTGCTGGAGACACCAAGACCATCCTATCCTAGTAGAGACGCCCCGGGGTTGGATAATGAGCGAGCCCCACGACCATGGCGATCTGAGACCGAAATGGACAGGCTTCGTTCGCCGCTTGGTCTCCGAAGGATTTTCCTGGTAATTCATACTTTGACTCAAGGTGCATCATGGTCAGCCTGAGATTTCCCAAACTCGCCCTCGATCTGGACATGGAAAGGATTGCTCAATGATTAGCCCACACGACTTCGGCTTCTCCTGACGCCAGCGCTTGTCGAAGCTCCACGACGTGCGGAACATTCTCGCTTCTAGAAGCCGGGTTTCAGACAGGCCTGAAATGGGGCGTCGTTAGATAAACAGTTTAAGGTCTCAGTTCCAGTATGAATTTCCGTGCCGAGTCTTCATCATCCCTAACAGCACCAATCTTGTGCCCAGTACGTACTTGGTACGGCTGCCAAAGATGTCCCCAGAAGAGCTTGAAATGGGCTCCTCGAGGGATGCAAGGCATATTCGTTCACAGTTTCCCTAAGGGGCGCAAAGCATCCTCGCAGGACATCAACGCTCATGGTTTTCTCGCTTGAATTATAGATATGCGTGTAGTTGAGCATGTATGTTAGGAATTTATCTCTAGACATGGTGTTCCTTGCACATTGTTTTGAATCACCGTTTAGTTGCGCGCCTACAAGTTAGCGCCTCTCGTATTGAGAGCTTCTTCGGGGTTTCTGGGCAACTGTTTCTGGGGATCTCGCGGTCCTTACCTAGTCTTGCTTAGATCGGCTGACACCCACTTGCTGTCGAGTCAGTCTGAGTAGCCGGACTGTCGATCACTGGGATGAGATGAAAACATTCATCCTGCCGATTTTTGGACAGAAGAAGCAACAGGACACAACAATAATGATCCACAGGGCCTGATCTCAGATCCATTCTGCGTAGAGCGGACACGCAATGGATGATCTTCGGAACAATCACGTACTCTGACTGTGACCCAAAGCTCTCCTCACCCAGGTCCTTTTCCTTTATCTAAAGTCAATTCTGACGTTCTTAGCTATGAGCACCATCCATATCGATGCCCAGAAGTCACTTAGGTGCCTAGGATTGTAGGTACGAGGTACACTGTTCAAGACAATGCACGAGGCCGTAAAGGATTTCAGGGATCGGCCCCCCCAGCGGAGGGATTCTAGGAAGATGATCCCAGGATCGTCTGCATAGCGCTTGTTAGCCTGTATCATGTTTGTTTTGGGGAAAGCCTGAAGCAAAAGAGGTGCACGAGTACCTATGTACAAGACGACCATGTTACACGAGCCTTAGTAGCCACGTGGTCCTGGTAACAATTGTTGGGGGGAAAGAAAAGAACAGTCCAAATGGGCTAACAAACCTGACCTACCCAGATCCATGCACGTAGCCTTCGCCTAAAAGGGGGGATTTGTTGACCGCTTGACCATTTGTTTCCTGTCTTCAAGTCTTGAGGCGTTGATTGTAACATGCTGAAAGGAGACAAGTCATTGCCTACACAGTTCCTACCATAGTCACTGACTTTGGGCGTTTCTTTTTTTTTCTTTTTTTGTATCAGTACCACTGGGACAATTGTACAGAACAATCTAGACCCCAAGATGCCCAACAGCAGGCAACCAAGATAGAAGAGATAGCAGGGTGTAGGGGCTGACAAAGCCTCCTGCAGACCTTGTTCTTCTGTGCAACATGCCTCGTAAAACCCGATGGTTCTTGTTGCACCTTTCTTTCGAAATCGGGGTAAGATGGTGCGCTCTGGGATATGCATGCAGTCACAATTGCATGGGGCTGCAGCATAATAGTGCAGGCGGTAGGGTTGATTGGGACATCTCGCGTAGCTTTCCCACGTTACACGGCGATTTCTGTTTCCGATAGACATCGTTGGACAACCAACACAAACCTCAAACCACCGGTGACGAGGCGGACCACAGAGCATGTTCCCTTTTCATCTCGCGTTAGCACCGTGGTCCGCACAGGGCAGGCTAATGGAACCATGCACCGCACGCGATCGCAGATTTCAATCACATTGCGTGGTGGAGCTGCTGACAGGGAGAGAGACAGACAAGGACAGGGAGTAGTGAATTCCGTGTGTGCAATGCTAGGCGTCTGTATGAGGAAGGTCACCACTCGGAAGCTGCATGGGAAATGATGAGGATGTCACTGATGATGATCAAACGGCTCCATGGGCCCATGTGCAACACGATCGACACCGCGTGGCTGACGAGGGCTAGGATTGTGACGATGACTAGAAGTTTTGATTGGGTGACCTCCCGAATGACGCCGCTGCTTCGGAACCAACAGGGGGGGCATCTGCCCACTTATATTCGCCAAGTAAAGTGGACATGGGGGGGATGGCCAGGAGAGATCACAGATGCAGCTCTCGCACAAAAAGCAGGGCAAGCAGCATGTCCCGAGTACTTGGTTGCTCCGTGTTTGTTGCTCTTGTTGGGCAACCATATAGCTTGGGGACCATAGCTCTCAGATGCCACATTGCGTGAGAGTTATGATATTCGGTGTCAATCCTGAGAACAAATACTAGGGATGTTTTGCTGGAGGTCGAGTCTCTTTCTGTCATGGCGCAGATCTGTCCAGTTGGCAACGCGACGCAGGGATACCAGGGCAAGCCCTTAGTGTGTGTAAAGACACCATCCGTTTCTTCATTGGCAGTGCAGGACCAGGTCATCAATAAGCGAGACTATCCAAGGCGAGCACGGGTGAGCCACTAGAGTGACTTGATGTGCATAATCTCCGATTGAAGCTCATTGGACTGGGCGATGAGGACTCTTTAAGCGAATACCTAGGGGCTTGATGTTGTATGCTTTCCACATGGTCCACGTTGACAATCCCAGCTCTTTAGCATTTTCATTTACCTCTTCTCCAGTCGTCACGAGCCCAACGGCGACTGGGGTGCCGGACAATTTTAGTACAGGAGGTGGGAAGGCAGGAAGTGTGTGGAGTATTTGTGAAGGTTTTTTGTCTTTCAGTAAATACTGGTACTTGTAGGAGGTATTCGGAGGGTCGATCGTGTAACCTGGTGTACGGAGTCTAAGTTGTCTGTGCGTACGAGGTAGTTCTGTTAAAGGAAACACTCCTTCAAGGTAATGCGTCCGAGAGAACAATGATTGGTGTTGGCTTGTACTGTATGTAGGGGTGACAGATGGTCGGGTTACCTCTGGCTAACAAAGTCCCGCGTGGCCCTCGTGGCCTTTGCTGCATGGTTTCAAAGTTGCCACTTTCTCATTTCCCATAACAGGAGCGGGCGTTAGAGAAAGATGGTGACGGTTCGGTTCGATCAGGGCAGCCTTGCAAGCAGCTGTACGGAGTACTCGACTCATGTCGCAACCCTGCGAGCAATGTGGCAGACAGGGTTCACCCAAGGGTGCACGAGGCAACCGTTATCTAATCGCATCGAGGTAACACAAGACCAAAGAGGCTTCGTCGCCCCTTGGCAGGCTTAGGTGCCAGGGCTTAGCCTAGCTCAGGCTAGCCTGGGCCTCTGAGGGCCCTCCAACGCGCACGCCCATGCTCAAGCCCTTGGCCATCAACCACCAGGCAGGAAGGCCCTCCCTGGTCCCTGGGAAAGGCACCTCCACTCGTTAGCTCGAGACTAAAGGTTTGCCGCTTGATCGTCTGATCGATTTTGATCGTGGTTCGGCACCCACCATCCCCCAAGGGGCCTCAGCCTGGGGCGTTGGAACCCGTGAACCCGGGAGATCTCTGGAAGCAGTTGGTTTCCAGGTTTGTTGTCCTCCTGTGTCCACTGCCGAGAACCTCGAGCCGTTCAAGGAAAGCCCAACATGACCCTAAAAGTCAGCCCTCCGTTTTCCTGTTGGGCAGCCCTCCTCGCTTAACGAACAAACAAGATACGGAGTACATTTGCCGCATTGGCGACAGCCATTGGCCCTTTCCTGTCCCAGCACAACAATCACTTTACAGGACGATGGTCTCTATACATTGCACAACTGATAATTGTGGATGAGAATCCAACACGCTTTCTCAGCGATGGGTCTTTGGGAAGTTTGCTAAAGAAAGCCACCCTTCGCGCCTTCCCACTCTTTCTTCCCCCCTCTTCTGATTCCTTCGGCGCCGTTCCGAATTGGCCTCGAATGCTGCCTCATCGGGTTCCCTCCCCCCCTCCTCCCCCCAAAATAAATGCCTGCGCCAGCGTATTACATTCACAACCCCGGCATCGTTGATCATCCCCCGGGCAGTCGCACAAGTCGGTTGCTTTGGTGAAGTCGATTCACGCCTTGCCGTTTTTCCCTTTGGATCGAGCCTCTCTCGACTCATACAGTACCACCATACCCAACCTGAACCAGAACCTCTTGTTTCCCCCAAATCCACTGCCGAGAACTGTACGTATACCTCTTCCTCAAGAGACTGAGCTGACTCTTCTCGCTAGTCACTCTCCTTCCCTTGCAGGACTGTCCTTTTTCACCCTTAGCTCACCAAGCCGGCCTCCCCCAGGTGCGCCAGTGACGCCACCTCAGCCGTTCTTGGGCCAGGTTGGGCCTTTTTCGGGAGTTTACCACGCACGCACCACCCACACGAGGAGGCCCAGCAACCCACAGCCATACAGGTGACGGCCATCGTCCTCCATGCGCCCTCCGAGTCCGGAAACGGTCAGCAGTCGCCATGGTATGACGGGGACCTGGTCTTGACGGGCCCAAATTACCCACTCCCCAGGCCTGTCGCCGCTCATCCATCCCACCCCTACACCTACCGTGGCTTTAAACTTACTTCTCGCCCACTTTTGATCTTCACCCAAGCCCGCACATCGCACGCCTTCGAGTTACCAAACCAGGCACCGGTGCTAGGTGGGCACTGGACAAGATATCCCTTCAGGCCACGGCCTTAGACCAGTGGAGTGGGATAGCCCGTGGCCAGCCGACCCTCCCAATCACTCTCTCTGGAACCACCGAACGAAAAATACAATCAAGCCCACCCTCCCCCCGAGTCCTTGTTCTCGACGATCTTCACCTCTCGTACCCCTCGGCTCCGGAAGCGCCCTCCTCCTCGTTATTTGTGGCCCTCTCTCCAAGGGCTGCTCATTCTCTCTGGCTCTGTCGCTTGCCCCAGCATCCCTTTCTACAACACAAGCGAGCCGTTCGTCGATTTGTGTGAAGAACGATCCAGTCCTCTGAGAAAAACCACCTGGGCTGTTTGCTTCAGCTCCCACTGCAACGTCACCACCCTGGATTCCCACCAACCGATTCCTGACCCTTCACCATCCAATATCTCTCTTCCTCCGTCTCTTGTAACCATCCCCGCCAGTAGACACATTTATCTCTGCTCTCACCATAGTCCCCTCCTTCCAGTACCAGACAGGCGAGGATTTGTAGATCCCAATCCTATCTCGATCTTCCGTGGACGAAGGCCCCCGTTCCCACCACCCTTTCGACTCTTTGATCCGAGCAGGGCAAAGCCTACACAGACTTCGCTTCTTCCCTGTCATTCAGTTCTTCTCCCAGAAAGTCTGAAAGAGTAGCCGTGGATCGTTGTTGTCGTCCACCAGTGTCACAGGCCCTGCCGGCATTGCACACTTTTCTCAACGAGTCGGACTGGGAATTTCAACCACAACAAGTTTGCCATAGGCAATTTTGTCAACATCTTGCCGGTGCTATGGCATTGGCATTGCTTCCACCTTACCACTCGAACTACCCTCTACAACATCCTCTACCCTCGCCAACGGTACTGCTGGCTTCAGCGGCAATGGAGCAGGCCAATAAGTTCAGGCCATCGCTACCTTCAATTTCCAGTCTCATCGAGGCAGTTACGGAGCAGTCTGAAAAAGGTAGGCGATGTCATCGTCTGATCGCACCCCATGATGGAAGAGTCATGCTCTAACTGCCACCAGGAAACACATCTTCTCCAACATTCGGGGCTCCGCGAAGGATATCTGGAGGTTCACATGGACAGGGAATCAGCCCGGAAAGACCACAACTATCAGGAAGCCCCCGAAGTCTTCCCCCACCGACACCAGAATTACCGCCGCCGTCGAGATTCGACTTGCCCCGACCCTCTCCCATCAACACTTCGCCGAGCTCAGGCCCCAACCGAAGCAGTTATCATCAAAGCACGAATCCTGAGTTGTACGCTCAACGGCCATCAGCTTGTCCCCCGGTGACGGAAGCAGCCACGACATATCCTTCGTCAACTGACTCGAGAGCATGGCCACCTTCGCATCTTCCAAGGCTTGCCCCGGACGCTGTGCAGTCAGACCAGCCGCCCAAAGCTCTAGCAGTGCCTTCAATCGAGGCACGTCCAGCAGAGGTACCAGCATACAATGGACTTTCTCAGCAACGGCCTCTGCCGACAGATTTCCCGGGCCCCATTCCTAACATTGGGGTGGCAACCATCGACCATACGGCGGGGCCACCGTGGCAGCTTCCTCAGTACTATCCCCCCGTCCACAACTCATATCCTCACAGCCACGAGCGGTACATATGCCCGACTTGCCACAAACCCTTCTCCAGGCCGAGTTCATTAAAGATTCACACTTACTCGCATACGGGAGAGAAACCTTATAGGTGCAAGTACGAGGGCTGCGGGAAATATTTCAGTGTCAGAAGTAACATGAAACGACACGAAAAGGGATGTCATGGGGGTGAAACAGCTGCAGCGCGAGGTTCCTTTCCCCGAACGAGCTACTGAACGTCACCCTACTGGCAATTTTGCCTTGTCATCTATCTTTCAACCCAGAAGAAAGTCCACCCTTACGACAGACCAGCGCGCTCGTCTTAGCTTCTCCCGCATCCGCGGACTTTTTCTGTGGGAGGCAATAAAATTCTAAAGGAGACCGTGCGACTTTATCTGCAATTTCCACTGGCCAAAAGTTGGTCGACAGCATTCCCCAGGCTTCTCAACAACATGATCGCATGAGTCTCTCCAAGTGCTTTATGTTCGCTTCATGGGGCAGCCACGACAGCAGCAAACTGCTCTTCCGCCTCCTCTTTTGCATTTACCTGGCATCTCATGTGTGTGTGTTTTATTTTTCAAAGTCTTCTGCGTTCAAGCGATGGGTCTTAGGAAAGGTGGGAAAGGGTCAACACGGACGTGCTTGAGAAATGAAGCATGTTAGCATGGTTGGGATCGGGGATTAGCATTTGGAAACACAAAAACCAGACCTGTTCACAGAGAGACAGCATTTTCTCCTAGCCTCGTGCATTCATGCTCAGAGTAACCGAGAGGTTCTAACCACAACCTCTGTCTTATCACACATATCTTGATAGCGACATCACGGAGAGGTTCAAAGGCATCCCGATCTCAGGCTGGTACAGAGAACACCCAGTCTTGGAGAAAAGGCTTGGGCCAGCAGAAGCATAGATGATGGAACCTATGCTCATGTACATTATTCGCGCGGGCACAGATGAACCCGTGGCCATGACTTGGTGACTGAAGGATAGCAATTAAAGCCTGTACAATACCAGATAATTGACAACAAGTCTGAGGATACCCTCACACCCTTGATCCTCATACCTCGTCTACGACACAATGTTCCTGTATGCGCAGTCGCAGTCGCAGTCGCAGTCTCCAGATCGTCACCCAAAAGATGGACCAGCATTGCCCAGGCTTTCCTGACCAGATACTTTCCGTCGCGTTCCAAAGTGCTGGGTCCTCGTATCGCACAAGACCTGACGCTATTGAAAGTGCGACGACATGTTCTAGCTTCATGCCGGAATCGAACGTCCCGCCAATCGATACAGGAACGAACATGGCAGGAGTGGGACAAAGCAGGCGAGATGTTCTAGACCGCTCTTCTCTCTTTTCGCAGCTTGTTAAAGACCGCCGCCTCTTTTTGTGGTTCGTTTCCCCATTTTACCAGCGCCCCAAGCCGGCAACATGCTATGCGAACATCCACACAATCCTTGTTATAGAGGTCAATTGGCAGCGATAGGTGGACGTGGAGTCTTTAGACTAAGCGACGTTTTGGGGGCGGACGTAGAGTCCACGTGGGTTTCCGATAGTTGATGAATTAGTGCACAAGCCACATTCGCCGCGTCGCCGAACAGCCACGTGGTGGAAGACAAAAGTCTGAAGAAGCCTTAGCTGCGATGGTGGCCAGGCCAGGCCCGCCGAGTCAGCGAAGTCAGCGAGTCAGCGAGTCAGCAATTGTCGCAACTTGCCGTCACCTCAGCTCGCTACCGAACAAGCGAGATCCCAAGCTCCAAGCTCTGACCACCCCCCAAAAGGTTGTTCTCACACCACCTTTGGCGCAATTGCTCTGGGTTGCGTCCAGAGTACAAAGTACTGTTAGGCTGCTTGTGTGTCCCCGAGTTTCAACGGAGCTAAAGTCGTGCATGGCGCAAGGGATCGCTCTTTCGCAAACCTTGCTGGCCACCAGAGATAATCTTGGGTCGCGATTCTGGTTTTTCTTTCCCTTGGATCTGGACCGAGTTCGGACGACGGAGCTCCTCGCGTGGACTTTGCCGGCAAGTTCATCAACTCACCCTCCCGCATGCCGCATTGGGTGAAAAGAACGATGCATCGCACGGCACCGTTGACTCTGCACCGAGAAGTCATCCCTTGCGTCAGACGTTCGAGAACCTCCCGGCCCACCAAACTATCCGCGGTCTTGATGGGCAATGAAGACCATCACCCGGCTTGGTATAAATTCTGCGACGGGCGAACCACGGCTCGGATAGGATTGGACTCCCGGTGTAACATTGTGTGCGCCCCGGGTCATGTTCAGAGAAGCCGCGTGATGTAGGTAGTGTGCTTCTCGACGCATGGAGATTGCCGGTTTGCAGCTGGAGTTGTGATGTTGCACGAGCCACCCGGCTTTCTCTGGTCAACAGGATACACCACCGTACTGCAGCTTCGAAATGGAATGTGGAATACAGTGGGAGCGACACGCTTCAACCCCAGTAGGTCATCCACGAAGAGAGCTACTGCATCTTGTGTCCCAAGCACCGTCAATAACTCTGGCAATAATACAATTCTCCCCCATGGGATCTTAGGATGTGATGTTTCTCTTTGCTTTTGTCCGACACTCTATGGGCAGTATCGTCATTCACCCTGCCCCTGGATCTTGACGTCGCGGTCTGAGTGTACGAGCTGGGCATGGTCTCGCTGGCGTTGAATCCTAGTCGATGTGGAAGAGGGCGGAGGGAAGAACAACTATAGCACCGTCCGATGATGCGGTCCATAAGGAGCCCCATAAAGAACATGGGCACAGTTGTCCTTTCTGCCAGCTGTTGCATGGGGGCTTAAAAGGGGAGCTGGTATCAGGCTTGAAGGACACCATTTCGACAACGCATGTCGTCCGAATGGTTCACGGCAGCTGTTGGAGATCCCAGAGGTCGTGGACAAGCCGCATTCAAACCCTGTGAGGAGCCAGAAACGTGAAAGAGGCAATTCCAATCCATCATGATGTGTTTGTTTGCTTGTGGGAGTCAATACAAGATTGCTGCCCGCGCATTGTCGCTCGCGCATTGTTACCGGGTCAGTCTGATGCCCGACCTTTGTCGACAGATGGTTTCCTCGATCAGTAGCATCGCTTGCTATGTGATTCAGAGAGCCTCTAGGCGAAATTTCGCGGGCAGTCTTTCACTTTTCCATCAATAAACATGCGTTTCAATTTCTCTCCATCTTGTCTAACCTCACCTTCATCCAACTTCCCCATCACCGATACTTCTCAGGCATCTCTCCAACATCCTCATACAACTGGTACGGCTGTTTTTCCTTCTCAGATTCATTGAGCAGGCTTACTGATCATCCATCTCTCGTGTATCTAGGCGTCCAGCAGATTCCCGATTCCTCAACCCCTTGATCCTTCCTCTCAAGTCGCTACAACTCGAAGAGCATCCTTCATTCACCATGAGTCCAATTGTGGGTAACGAGGCCTTCCTTGCTGCTTGTATCAAGTATGCCAAAGAGAAAGTCACTGTCGACTTCGAAGCGCTTGCCAAAGAACTCAAGATGAGCAAGGGTGGAGCGGCGTAAGTCTTCTATTTCCCTTTGTGTTGTTGGCCTCGAAGATGATGTGGTGGCCTGTCCACTTGCTTCCTATTATCCACCACGAGTCCACCGTTCATTTGCTGCTGGGGCATGTCTGATCATGGCTACTCCTCTCTCCCCCTCTCTCTTCATCCCCAAAAGTCCCAACTTCGGCAAAGGTTCAATTGGTTTACTGATTCGTCTGATCTGTAGCAACAAGTTCCGTACTATCATGAAGCAGTTGGAGGAAGATGGTGCGGTGTGGAACAGCATGGACGATCAGGCCGACCCAAAATCTACTTCTACTACCGGTGTCAAGCGCAAGGCTACTACCAAGAAGGGCCCTCGTTACAACTTGGCGAGAATCGATCCCGTCGGACGTCGCGATGTCAGCAGTGACGAAGCTACGGAACAACCTCCCCCGAAGAAAGCTCGCGGTAAAGCTACCAAGACCAACGCCCCCAAGCTCGGCGCCGGGGATAAGAATGATGAAGAGAAGAAGCCAAAAGGAAAAGGTGTCAAGAAAATCTCTCCTGCGACTCCAAGCGATGGCTGTTCGGGTGATGACGAAGCGACTCCCATCAAGAAGGAGATCAAGACGGATGTTCCTAATGCGAAGATGATCGAACCCGTGGGGTCTGTTACAAAGACTGACACAGTGCCGCCTAAGGAGGGTAACTAGCGAGGCAAGGAGACTTTGTGCCATCATGCAGGTGCATCAGATGTTTCTTGGTTCCTTGGTTCCTCGAGTTGGTGAACATCAATCGTAATGGAAGATAGCTGCGGTGCTGGCGCATCAGAAAGAACACAGGATAGTCACGACATTGGCATCGGAGAAGAGAAACACTTGGGTGGATCACTCTTCTTCTGAACACCATAGGGCATGTAGCTCGTGATAGCATCCCCAAGAACGAGTTGAGATAGCTTTTCCACTCTCAACTTTTGAGACAAAGCAGAATGAATTGATCAAGTCTCACATTCCCTTGACGTTTCTCTATTGTTTAGGCGTAAATCCCAGTAGAATTGGTTGAGAAGTGAGAAGTTCATGAGCCGTTCCGGGCTCATTTATCCAGAAGGACGTGGTTCCAAGTGCGTTGAGGCATACGGCGACATGCTGCGGCATTTTCTATTTAAACCTTTCTTCCACCGTCCAATTTTCTTTTCTTTCCTCTACATCTTGCCGATATCCAGCTCAACATCCTCTCCACTGTCCTCTGTTCTTCAGACCTTTCCACCATTCCAAGTTCAAATAGCAAACGCCAAACCAAACTTCTTTCTCGCAACAACCTGTAAGTTAACCCAGGCTGTTGTGCCAACGCCTCCATTTCTTCCCTTCAAACTTTCAAACTTACATCGACTGACTGATATCAGAAGATGGCTCCTGCACCCAACTCTGTCGATGACTTCACGTTCATCATGACATGCCTCAAGCATGCAGATGTGAAGCCCAAGATCAACTTTGAGGAGGTCGCAAAGGAGACGGGTGCGAAGGGCGAGAGCGCATGGTACGTCGCCCTTTTAGTTTCATATTAATGACTCTTGTTCTATCTCGCAAACATATCTCCCATGCTCGGTAACTACCTGAAGAGGCTGTGGACGCTGATTTGATTTCCGCTTTTTCCTTACAGCTATCATCGACACTGGCAAATCATGAAGAAATGGGGTCTTGCGGGGACTCGTGGAAAGGGCCGTAATCCAGCTCCAGCTGCGTCAACCAAGGTTACGGCATCACGAAAGCGCAAGCCAAAGAACGAGGCCGACAGTGATGGTGGCCCACCCGCTAAGAAGGCCAAATCCCCTCTGAGCAAGAAAGCCATGCAGCCAAAGGTGGAGGAAACCGACTCTGAGGATGAAGAGAGTGAGGAAAAGCATGTTGTCGGTGCCAAAGTCGAAAAGGGGCTCGAATGAGGCATTGTAGCAGTGGCCCTCGCAAGGAACCGACAAGGGACAGTGTACCATTCCTGTCTTCAACCGGGGCTACCATCTCCTCCAGGACAACTCGGAGATGAACTATTCGAGCTGGAGACACGGATTGCTCGGTCAGACAGAGGAAACATGAGCTTTGGAGCCTAGGCAATATCATCAAAGCGTACGGATGATCAATCACAGTACCTCTCGTGGCAGAGGGACCAGGGATGAGGCTCAAGCCTGAAGACATGTGGAGACATATGATGCCTTCCTCATTGAGAAGGATCTAGATGCTGCTTTAATGAGGCGAGTAGAAGAATGCTTCGCCGCCCAGATGCTAAGCCCAATCCGTAAACTCTAAACTCGCCTGATTTTGGTTGCGTCACTGACTGCGTCGACCTCCTGGCTTCATCCTCGTCTGTGCGCAGCACCCTTTCTATTCGGTATACCCTTCTGTGTGCAGTCTAATCCGTCGATTGCACCCGCTCGATGTGCGTCTCAACAGCCTTGACGTCCTTGTCCTCCAACTTCCCCAGCAGCTCTCGTCCCTTCGCCGTCGCCGCCTGGCCGCCGATCTTCGCGTCTTCGCCGTCAAAACAGATTGCTATCGTCTCCAGGCTGTGACCCTTTGTCTCGATGTAGAAGAAGTACACTACCACGGACTGGATCGCCAGCCAGATGATGTAACACAGATAGTACTTCCACTGGATGTTTTCGAGCGCCACGGGGTTCACATAGTTGGAGAAGAACAGGCCGGCCGCCACGCTGAGCAGCATGACGGTAAGATATCGCGACCGCAGGTAGAACGGCGAGATCTCCACGACGTAGCCGATCAACAGGCCTGACCAGGCAAGGTTGTAGAAGAACATGAAGATGAAGATGAGTGCGATCACCGCCCGTCCCGCGGCCGTGGTTCCGTGGGCCTGTTGCTGCTGACTGGCAATCGTCCAGCCCGTCATGGCAATGCACATGCCGAAGGTTGCCGTCAGATAAAGAGGCCGGCGGCCCAGTTTGTCGACGGCAAACGCCATGCCCGTGGCGATACACATGTTGAAAATGGTCAGACAGCCATTCAGGATGAGCTGGGAGTTGGAATCCGTGATGCCGATTTGGGACAAGACGAGGAAGATGTAGTAGGACACGATCCCCGAGCCCGCGGTCTGGCTGAAGATGCCCGCGGTGACGACAATCAGTAAGCGGTGTCGATTTCCTTTGGTCGACCAGAGCTCGGAGATGCCGCGACTCGCAAATTCCTTTTCCAGCGCCATGGTTTCCAACACTTCGCGGTATTCACTCTCGACGAACGCCTGGCCGGATGCAGGACCGTGGAAGCGCTGGAATATCTTTTTCGCTGTTTCGTGGCGGCCTTTGACGATATGGTACCTGGGACTTTCGGGCACGAGCCAGATCAAGAAGAGTTGAATGACCGATGGGAAGGCCTGCAATATGCTGGGAAGCTTCCACGACCATTGACTCTGCATCTTGAGAGTGCCGTACGTTGTCCAACTAGCGATAATGGAGCCCAGATACCACAGAGTATTGTAGATTGTTGTCAACCTTGCACGATATTGAGGGTGAGACAGTTCGGTGATGAGCATCGGCGAGCAACTTTGGGTATACACGATTCCGAGGCCGATGATGAAACGAGAGGCAATGAACATGCCAATGTTGATGGAAACAGTCTGTAAGATGACGCCCAAGAAAATCAGGGAGCTTCCGAGCAAGATGGTCCACTTGCGGCCAATGTGGTCTGCCAAAAATGGCACCAGAGGTAGGCCGACGACTTGTCCGACCGAGAAAATGGCGTTCAGGAGTCCGAGTGTGGAGGCAGAAGGTCGATGAAAAGTGTTCTGCCAATAGCTCAACGTTTGCAGGCCGTTCACTTCCCTCATGGTCAGTTTGCTTTGGCTTGTCTGTAAGTCAGACGAGGCAACTTACTCATGGATCCATCATAGCCGTTCGTGGCCGACGACAGCAGCAGAATCGCACACAGGAAATGTAAGTGGATGAGAGATTTGTGCTTCCACCACTTCACCTCCGGAAACTCCTGACCTCCCACGACCAATGTTTGCGACTTGGGAATCTGGGAAAAGAGTTTGACCATGATTGCAAAAGTACACCGAGCATCGAGCCAACAGGAAGGATATGCGGGCACCGAAGAAGTCCACGGACTATGTCCATGCTTTTGTATTTCTCCTGGCAAAGAGAATCCACTGAGGAGACATCTGGGGAAAGTGTCCGGACCACAGTCCGGGGAAACATTGGGTGCACGACAATCTCCCCAAACGGTATACAAGGATGTTCTCCGGCTCTGCTGAACGCCCTCGGGTAGCAGTTTCTGGAGTCTGGGAGACGTCAACGCTCGAGGGAATAGGAGAATCTCGGGCTGGTGTTACATTGCTGTACCGTTCCATGGTTGTCGCCCCGAGGTAGATGGCGAACACGCATGGCGAAGAGATCACAAGGCAAGTTCGCACCTGGCCATTCTTCCTGGAAGAGCTACCAGCTAACGCACAGAGTGCAACTCCAAGGTCCACTCATCGCCCTAATTCTCTGGACGATCATGGCAAAATAGTAATAGCCATGGTCGATCATCCGACGCGGCCACACTCCGACCTGCGCTGTGCCATTGATTTTCACGAGTCAGGCCTCATGATTGGCTACCGGCCAACGGGGCGCAGACGGCTTGATAAAGGCTATGACCTGTACTAGCTGCTTGGATTGTTACCATGGTCTAGTTGACAACAGGCGATACGCGAGTCGATATGGGGATTGTGGGGAGTCGAGGAGGGGTGCATGATGGAGAGGTCCATGTTGCTACAAGCGGAGAGGTAACCCACTCCCATTAGCCTAAATGGCTATTATCAACCGTCTGCTGATACCCAACTGGACCTTGTCGCAGCCTTTGATTCGAGACACGACCGTCAGCTTCTTGCTTCCGGTGGAAACAGCCGCCCTCAGTGTGCCGCTTCCAACGCACAAGTGGGGGAATCCGATGGCCAGAGGAAGACCGACTCGTACCACAATTTTTGAGGGATTGAAATCTTCAAACCTCGGGCATTGAATCCAAGAAGAAAGAGGTGGAGAGTGAAAGCCATCGTTGCCCTTGTAGCACTTCTATCTCTGGTCACCACGGCTCTCAGATCGCATCTCGAATTGTCAAGATTACCATGGCACCCTCAGCGATAATGGATCCGCCAGCTTCAAGGACACCGACATATGTCGATGGGGCTTTGATTACCGATGTTGAGAAACACGGCGACAATCCTGTCGTGATCCGTCTAACCGATGAGGAACTTCACTCAGGAAATACCCGACCGGAAACACTGCAAGAATGTCTCAAGTACTTCCACCGCGACGGCTTCGTGGTGCTGGAGAACGCCATTCCCGACGAGCTCGTCGACCGCCTATACAACCGCATGGTACAAGACAATGTCGAGTTCCTGCGGAAGAAGCATATGCATTGGAATCAGGGCGCCGCAACAGGGAATGTCAGCCAGATCCCACCACTCGAACCCGAATATTTGGACCGCGACTTCTATGCAAACCCGCACATGATTCACGTCGTGGAAAATCTGCTCGGACCTAAACCCGAGCTCCGTTTTGTCAACAGCAATGTTGCTTGTCCGGGCGGGACGGCACGTCAAGCCGTGCACAGCGATGTTAGCCACGCGTGGCCGGAAATTCCGTTTGGGTTGGTGATGAACATCTACCTGCAGGACTCGGACGAGAGAAACGGGGTGACGGAGGTGTGGTGCGGGACTCACAATGCCTATCCACAGAAAGAACAACAGGCATTTTCCGATCGAGGCTGGATCAAGAAAGAGTACATCCAGGAACGGGCCAAAATCAAGCCTCCTGTCCAGCCCAAGGTGCGGAAGGGCAGCATCTGCTTCCGGGACCTTCGGCTCTGGCACGCTGGCATGCCCAACAAGAGCGACAAGCATCGCATCATGCTGGCGATTGACTACTTTGCACAGTGGTACCAGTGTCCTATGACCACCAAGCTACCATTGACCATGAAGAGCAAGATCGAGCGCGAGTGGGAGGGTATCTCGACGGTCGGAGTTGAATGGGTCGAGGGCGAGCTCAACAGTCTGGACGTTCCCTTTTACCTCAACATGACCCAGGACCCGAATCTGTATCTGCTCCAGACGGAGAAGGGCTTCCAAGATCCCAAGGGAAGGCAGACAGGCGAGTATAAGTTTGATACGGTGAAAGTCACGGACCAGAATTATTGGACTCCAGAGTAAAATGACCACGTGCACCGGTAGCAGAAAGAGTTTGTTACCTTGTTTGCGCTCTCTCTCTCTCTCACTCTCTCTCTCTCACACACACAGTTCCCTCTGTTCCCATTGTCGCCAGCGCGTTCCAGATTCAATGTCCTGTTAGTGTCTGTTCGGATAACCTCCCTCATCGTGCTTTCTTTTTCGTTCTCTTTGTTTTTGAGTCGTGTGCATTCACGCGTTTCACACACACAGACGACAGACAGCTTCCATCTCAACCATCACTTCTTTTGTCACTCAATCATCTCTCTCAACGCCTTTTTCAATTCATCGTTCCTCCAGCCCTTCCATCCATTCCATACATTCAATTCCCCTCATTCCTACCTGTTTCCCACGGCAAATCGAGATGGCGCCACGAGTCGGAGCAACAGCCAGTGGTGTGGGAGACCCTGCGTTTAGGTTCCTCCTGAGCGTCCTCAAGCACTGCGAGCAAGTCAAGCCAGACTGGAACGAAGTGGCCAAGGAGAATGGCATCGCCTGGGCGAGGAATGCGTATGTATTTTGTTGTTGTCGTCTCTCTCATCCCCCCTTCCCATCTCACCCCAAAACCCCCCTTCTTCATCATGAGATCTCTTTCTGATCAGTGAAACATCCGATTCCGCAGGAGTGCCCGCTTCAAGTCGATCATCGAGCAAAACGGCCTCAAGTTCGAAAACGGCTCGATCCTCATTCCGGAGGACGCGGAAGATGGTGGTGTCATCGCCGCCACCAAAGCTTCTCCGACTCTACAAGAAGACAACGAACCCAACACTCCCAGGCGCGCCAAGAAGACGGCCACCCGCAAGCGCAAGGCGGACGCAGCAGGAGCAGACGACGACGACGACGACGACGAGGAGAAGGCAGCTCCAGCAGCGGGCGGCGCGAAAAAGGGTGGCGGCACCAAGAAGAAACCCCAGAAGTCGATGGTCAAGGTCGAAGAAGACGCTGACGCCGACGGGGACCAGCAGTCCGCGCCGGCAGTGAAGGATGGCCCAAAGACCAAAACGGAGAAAATCCATGGCGGTAGTGACAATGTCGAAGACGAAACCCGCGCCGCGAAGAGGGTCAAGACCGAGGACGCGCAGTTTTGAGTGGTCCCGCCCCGCCAGGTCGATCGTCTTTCCTATGCAATTCCTCCAGTCGGAGGTTATGGTGGTTTTTATTTTCTTCAAGGGTCAAAGATTTCAACGACGTGACCGGATATGACATGAACGAAGAGAGAAATCTTCTCCTGAGAGGTGCTTGCTGGTCAAAAAGCGAGGAAAGGGAACCGCGACGACGACAAGGACGACAAGGACGACAACGACGCTGGTTTTACGAGCTTGCAGATACGAATGCGGTAGGATACAGAGACACACACCAGAAACACACATACGCGCACGCGCGCACGCACGCACGGATGCATGTACGAGAGAGCGAGAGAGATAGATGCTGGTAACGAGTCGAGACAGGGAGAGGCGGAGAGGCGGAGATGCTGAAACTTGTCGATGTTGTTATTCACGAGTAAGAGAGAGAGAGAGAGGGAGGGAGAGAGCTAGCTAGCTTAGCTACGTGGTTGTGTTACCTCGCACTCGGTACTTCACATCTCATCCCTCGTTCATCGAATGGGGTCAGGTCGAGGTTACCGAGAAAGTAAGTAGGTGATACAAGACAAGATCGATTCATTGACGTGGTGAAGAGATTTTTCGTTCCCTCGTCTTTTTCCACCCCCCGGGGACCGACCCCTCCTCCCCTCGGGCAGCTGGGGTACAAGAACTCGGAAACAAATCAAGTCGGGGTTTTATTACATACGAAACTCCTCAGGCTCTCACCCCTTTCCCAGCATAGCCCCTCGAGCATCATTTATATGAATTAACCCTCCTTCTCCTCTCTTCTCTCCCTCTCGTTCCCCCCTTTTTCATCTCTTCCCCCTCCCCCCTTTTTCTTTCTTGTTGACTTACCAAGTCCGGGAGATAGCCGGCACAAAGAGGCGATGGAGGAGACGGAGGGGAGGGGAGGGGAGTATACATATGGAGAAACATTCCTTGGCCACGGGACCAATGATCAATTTATTGACCAATCATTATACACGGAAGAGCTCTTGGCGGACGTTTTGAGTCTTGGCGGGGTGGGAGTAGCGAGCTCGCGAGGTAGCGAGTTGGTGAGGCAGGTAAGAGCTGGCTCACCCGTAGAACCACTACCGCTTATTGATGAGGGTATGTATTACTGTGGTAGGAGGGGGCGATTATCAACACTCATTGTTGCTGTTGTTGCTGCTGCTACTCACACTACCGCTCCCGCTACTGCTCCCCGAGTCGTTGGATGTTCACCCTTTGGTCTTGTCTACCCGGGTCCAAGTTCTCGGTACGGAGGGTGCAACGACATACAGATGCAGAATTCTTCATCTTCCGACATGAGGTAACCAGGACCTGATATCCTTCTCAGGAGTTTGTCTGGAAGAGTCCCATCTCCCATCACTCAGCCAATCTTTCAGACCATACATCGATTGGAAACTTGGAGAGGGAAAGGAAGAAAAAAAAGAGAGAAAGGCGGGAAATAACCATCTCAACATGTACGAACAGTGATGTTCATTTCGACGTGTATGTGTTAAAGTGTGCATGTATAGAGGTAGAGCCCTCTCCTCCCGTCATGGTTTCTATTTCCACCCCTCGGCATCACATCTAGAGGGTCTCCTTCTCTTATTCTTCTGACTGGTCGAAGAGTTTAGTCAAGGGCTCCCCCGTCTTGGCCCCAAGTGCCAAGTGAGCCTCCGAAACAGGTCTAGCACAACCCGTGTACTGTACCACTCGACCTTACCAGGGCCGGGTAGGCGCCTCTGAGTATTTGCCTAGCTGCCTAGCTCCTCTGGTCGCTCACTCTCTTCTTTACCGCGTGCCTGTAGTCCCACTTCTCTGTGTCTCAGTGGTCTTTATAAGCTGTACTATTCCATGTGGACGTGCTCTTTGAAGTTCAATACCTTCAACTTCAGTGGTCTTGGAGAAATAATAATCGCTGTTTTGGGATGGTCCAAGGTCGAATTGGGTTCCGTCCCGGAGCGAAACTCTCCCAGAAACTCTGTTTGAATGTTGCCCGGCTTTTGACGTGCTGGAGTATGTGCTCCGTAGACATGACTAGGCTTGAGAGACTGCATCGGTCATATTCCCTGGGCAACAGAAAGGCGATTCCTGTTCAGCGCACGATTGGACCGGGCTGCAAGACTCCGTGTGCGACGCATGCGCCTGACAGGAAACGGTCCAGACCCCTCCGTGAGGCTGAAACCGAAAATGCCCCTCCACAGCACGGCTGCATGAGTTTGCGAGCTTGCCCATCACCATATCCCTGCTGCGGGAGATTCATTGGTCAGGTCCATGCCCTGCATTTGCACAGCCAAGAAGTCTGTCTGGGTCAGATGGCCACCGGACGGTTGTGGTGGTGTCTGCTGTCGCAGATCTATCGCATCTTTAGTGATCGCTCGAGAAGTTGCGGTGTCGGTGGCGCAATATCCCCAAAGACTAGCTCCTCTCGTTGTTCAGTTTGGGTGGCCGCCCTAAGAACATGATACGCTGCCTGATGTGATTGTTTCAATCAGAACAAGCTCTGTTTGCGTCGAGGTTTGCTGCAAGCGTCCAGCCGCTGCTCCGACAGCAGAATCACTTGACCATGTCACACCGGCGATTCGCCAGTGCCCCAGCAGTGTTTGCTCCCACGACGTAAGCGAACCAAAATCCCTAGGACCGCTGTGGTTCTTGCGGGCGCGTACATTTGGAAGCTGAGGCAGACAACGCTTCGAATCTTTTGCGCGCAAACGGACCACCATGCCTAACAGCCGCAGAAACAGACCTGGCAGGGGCCCCGGAACGCTGCAAGGCAGGTCATCACATCAGTCACGCTCTTCTGCATAACCGTTTGTCAACAGCACATTCTGAAGCCGCTTTCTGGTCGCCTTGAAGAAGCTCTTGAAGCTCTTGCGGCTCATCTTACTGCTGTGCCCACTGTGTCCACTGCCCACACTTCCCCCCTCGGGATGCAGTCCGTCGGCCTGAATTTTCAGACCCAACTCTGCTGGTAGGTGTTTTATGCACTCGTCACAGAACAGTGGGTAATTGAATTTGGTGCTGATTCCCCAAAGTTCGACAATGACTTCTTGGATGGTCGGGCGCGACTCGACCTCCTTGGAGACCATCCTGCCACCAAGCATGAGCAGACTCCTCATCGGTTGCTCCCTTCCCCGCTCTTCGCAGCACGCGGTTTCAACCCATCTGCCGACTTCGTCCAGATGATCCACGTAGATTCGCAGAGCCCGGATCTCGTTTGTCCCGGTCCTGATCATGGCACTCAGTATCTCCAGGAACGTGCACCCGAGAGAGAAGACGTCTGTCGACCTCCCATGGGGCTGAGTGGTGCTGTCGTTCTCTGGAGCTCGATATTCGTACGTGGATTCAAAGCGACCATGAGTTCCACTGCCGCTCTGGGGGTCGAAGTGGTAGGCAAGACCAAAGTCAGCTACATAGTACCGATGGTCGTGATACAGAATGTTATCGGGCTTAATATCTCGGTGTCGGGTGTCTTTCCTGTTGTGCAAATAATCCATGGCAAGGCTGATACAGCCGAATGCTTTGAGCAATATCGGCTTCAGTCTCGCGCGGTCGTAAGCATTCCGGCAGTATTGGTTGAGCAGGCCCAGGAGATTACAATCAGCCGCCGGTGTGGCCAGAAAGGCGAACTCGTCACTACCTCTTTCATAAGACTTGACGTACTTCAAGATGTGGTGGTGCTTCAATCTCTTCAGGTTCTTCACTTCGTTCTCCAGATGCTGGCGTGACGCAGGGGTTGCTTTCTGACGCTTTCTGGCATAGAATCGAGGCGTCGCGGACTGGTGTGAGAGATCGCGCACCTTGTCGACAATACTGTAGGATCCATCATTGGAGTAGATCTCCTCGGATTTCAAGGGCAGAGGCTCCAGGGCTCGAAATGTAACGTGGGCCCCTTCAGGCCATTCTTTCCATCTTGCGCGGGATTGTTGGTCACGGAAAAGATCACCGACTCGTGAGGCGTCGCTCGCTCCGGAGAATATCACTTGTAGCTTGTTGGTGTCAAACGGAAGGAAATCGTCGTTCCATCGTCTGTGTAGGAACCGATCAAAGTAAGCGTGGCCATTGTGTAAGTGGCTCAGGACCGTCGCAATCATGGCCATATTCTTGAGATCCTCAAACTTCCCTCGGTCTTCTATCTGCGGAGTGATTGCTTGCCAGGCCTCACAGAATGCTTCCAGCACCATCCTGGCTCTGTCGACGTGTGACCTTTCGATCGAGATGCCGTCATGTGGTCCGCTGGCGATGTTTGATTTCGTCAACCCGTCGACAGTGGGAATTTGCCTCCACAGAAACCACAGGTCGCCAATCTTGAGCCGGCCAGCGGTGCGAGGTTCGTGCGCAAAAGTTGCGACTCGTTGCTGCCTGAGGGTAGACTCAAGCCGCATTTTGAACCATTCAGTCAACTCTTCCAGCACCGTGACTTGCCGGTTGGCGTTCCGAGCGATCTGCTCCCGTTGCGTCCTCGTATTGTCAGCGCCGGCAATCTCAACTGTGTGTAGTTCCCCAATCAGCTCTTTGATCTCCTTTATTGCGGTTTCGAATCTCTGTGATGGTTCCCTGGCATGGTTTTAGAGACTGGTTTCTCAGTTTCTGCGTCCCCGTCTCCAGATATCTTACCATTCGCGCAGCTGTTCGCTTGGAACGCTGTTGTATCTTGTAACCTCCACCGCAATGACATCGGCCTCGTCCGAGATCAGCCTCAAGTACCGCTCAGCGACCGGATTTGGCCTTGTGCTGTGTCGGTGAGGTCGTATATAGGTCTGCCACGTCTTCAAGCCGATGATGATGTCGTCGACGGAGCTGATAATGTCGTGCGGGCCTGGTTCCTCTGCGTGGTTGGTCGCACGCCGCGCGAGAGACAGCGCGTTGGTCAGTTTGTCGACGATTGACTGGCAGCACGTCTCCAGCTGGGCCGTCATGTCAGTTCCATGAATGTGACCCGCGCACCGAGTACACCTGGTCGAGGGTGATTTGAAAAGATAGACAGGGCGGGAATTCTCTGTGCTTCGTTGGCATGG